TATAATTTTATTAATTTATACATAGAAAGAGGGAAAGGAAAAGATACAGAATGTAAGAAAAGGTCTAACATTCTGCATGTAAATCTTCTCATAAAAGCTTATAACTGTCATTCTTATTGTTCTTCATTTAATCTTACTTTCTCAGTACTTGTGTCTTAACCAATCATAAAATGTCCTCTGGTCCCATAAATTCTTCTATTTCTCCTTTTAATATATTTGTCAGTGTTAAGTTGCTCGCTTAACAAAGTAGTCAAAGAGTGATTCAGCAAAGATTCAGCTTTATTCATCAACTCGAACACAGCTCCAACACAGATCAACATCTCATTGCATTAAAGCTGTTCCCTTTTTAAACTCTCCCGGGTAATGTAGCCACGCCTACTATACAATTTTCAACCAATAAGGTTGTATACATAAGGACCAATCACGGACATTCCCGCTCAGGGAGCTTGTTGATAGTGATTGGTTAGGTGTTTCCTGGGCTAGCAATATGATTGGATGTATTTGGATCCTAGCCCAGGATGAAGCTTAACATAGCATTTCAATTAGATGTTTTCATCACACATTATGCATTAAATGGCAGCTTATTGAATAAATTATAGTCAATTTGTCCCTTTCAGCAATAAGAACAGTCCTTAAGAGGTCTGCTCCAAATCCTACTTGGAAGTGTTCCTTAGGGCTGGTTGCCAGCCTCCAGGCGGGGCCTGGGGATTTCCCAGAATTACAACTGGCCTGCAGTTGACAAAGATCACTTCCCCTGGAGAAAATGGCTCCTTTGCAGGGTGGGATCTATGGGCATGATACGCTGTTGAGGTCCTTTGCCTCCTCAGGCTCCTCCCCCAAATCTCCAGGAATTTCTGGAGCTGGCACCCCCAGCTTACTCCCATGGAAGGGTTTATTAGGGTTGCACTGTTAATAAAGCACCGCACGCGCGCAAAACCCATTTAATTCGAAGCAGAGAGCCATGTGACCTTGTGGCCAGTCACACAAGTTAATTTTCACAAGGCCCTGTTGTGGTATTTGAACTCCATAGTGTTGCAGCTGATTTGTGGTTGCCTAGGGCTACCAACTTCAGGTTGGGAAATTCCTGAAGATTTGGGGGTGGAGCTTGGGGAGGTTATAATGCCGTAATGTTTGTTTGTTTGCATTATTTTTAGACTACCTTTTTCACAAGAGGGACTCAAGGCAGGTTACCCAGTACAGTCAACAGGATGGGACCTTCAGTGAGCAATGCACTAGGATTGTAGAAGCCTGGAACCAACCAGAAATCTAAAAGACAGAAGTCAAACGTAGGTCCCGTTCATACGCGGCGATTTGGGCCAGTTGCGGGCCAGTTTGGGGGCGGATCAAAGCAGCGCGATCACACCACAACATCTGGGAAGCGTTCTGCTTCCGCCCCCAAACTGGCCCTTTCTGGGAAAACGCGCCTCAAGTTGACACCACCTACCTCGGTGGTTCAACTCCTTGGCGCGCTTCAGGCCGGGCGTTTGATCGCCGGCGCTCCCTTGCGCCGGCTCAACCCCGGCCTGGAGCCGAACTGCGCATGCTCGGGCATGCGCAGTTCAGCCGGCTCCCGTTCGGGACGTGTTTTCTCCCCGGCGTTTGATCGCGCCAGGGAGAAAAGGCGGCGCGGCCGGGGGATCTGTGTGATCCCGCCGCGCCGTGTCAACGTTGGCGCGGCTTTTAAAAGCCGCGCTTTAAAGAGGCTTTTCCCCTGCCGTGTGGCAGGGGCCGTAGTGTAAGTATTAAGTGGTGCAAAAATTACGTAACAGGATCCTACTTATATAAGCTATACACGGCAGTGGACACCACAGCCCCTAATTATTTATCCAAGTAAGTCTGTTTTGTACATTACCCAAGTTGGCCATGCCCAGCAGGAACTTATTAGCATAATAGGCCACACCCAACAGCAGGAACTCATTAGGATTGGCTACATTAGGGGTGTGTGGCCTAAGATGCAAAGGAGTTCCTGCTACAAAAAAAGCCCTGGTTTTGACCACAAACAAGGTCAACAGATTAAGAAGCAAAAGGTGGGCGTGGCTGGATTACCACACTTCTGGTAACATGGGTGTGTGGCCTAATATGCTAATGAGCAGCGCTGTCAGGGCTGTGGCCTAATATGCTAATGGGTTTCTGCTGTTGGGTGTGACCTATTATGCTAATGAGTTCCTGCTGGGCTTTTTCTACAAAAAAGGCCCTGCTTTCTCCTAAAACCAAATAGTCAGAATGCTAACAAAAATTCTTCTCTTTTTCTTTGGCTCTAAACCATGGAAGACTTTCACCAGGAGATGGTGCTGTTCA